TCTGTCACGGCCCTGACAGGCGTTACTGAAGAGCTTGGGGGGTACATAAAAGGAGGCCCAAAAACTTGCTAAACCCCTGACCGTGACCCTGAGCATTACACACACACATATTCAGAAGACAGATCCATTATGAGCGCTGGGGTAAAAGGCTTATACCAGAGGACGCATCAACTGTCCTGCGTGTGAATAATTGTGTGTTTGTGTGTGTAAGGAGGCTGTGTATGGTGTTTGGGAAAAAGTGTGAAAGTGTGTGTATGTATTTTTAAAACAAATGCAAGTAGGTGATTTATGGTTGTTGCTTGGATATTGCACGGTTAAATCGATAGTGTAACACAAAACCCAATGTTTCAAACATTTTCCTACTACACTTTTAAAATTTGTTGTAGCCTATTATTAGTTGTATTTGTACCTACAACGTTGTTTTATATGTAGCCTATATAGCCTATATAATAATAGCTGAATGTTTTGTAAAGGACAATTCAGACACCATATATGTAAAGATTAGACGTTTAATGTTCTGTTGAGTTTTAATTATTTACATGATACAACATTGAAAATAAGCCTTTTCAAAAATATTTCCCTATATGATAAAAAAAAACTGTGTTGAGTAAATGTGTTGTAAATATTTGACGTGATAGACAGTAGCATATTGGACGAGCTGTATAGGCTACGAATGTCCCTCAGAGCCTCGTTTTCATATAGGCTATGGCGTCCATCACAAATAAACTATTAATAGGCCTATTTAAATCGCATAATGTCTATAACTCGATATAAGTTACTTTAATGTTGTTGTAGCCTACAGATAACATAATTATAGGCTACATTGGGATCTCACGGAACGACATCAACATAATTTACTCTGAAAAAAGATCAGCTTTCCAAATGTAAATCTCAATTAGACGTGAAAAAAACGTCAAATTAAAATGGATATTGAGTTAAAACAAACGACTTAATTAATAATAGGCCTATCGTTCATTTGCGCCTCTGTACAGGCGCTCGTCCAGCGTGAGACTGATTCAGTTTCGGACTCTTTTAATTCACAAAACTCGAACCTATTTAGCCTACACAGAAATTAGACTCCTGTAAAATAAACATGACGACGAAAAAGTTAAAAGATGGAAATGTCAGAAGGAAACGTCCCTTCGATCTGTGAAGACTCTCGTGCAGGTTTAATAGCCTATTGGTCTCCCTTTTAAGTTTAAATATATTTACACCTAATAGCAACTTTGTTCATAAAGACCACAACCTTTAAATATATAAAATAAACATGACAAAAGTTAAAGTCGAAAAATATCAAGAAATCGCTCGCTTGATGTGTAAAGCCGCTCGTGAAGCTGGCTTCTCGCATGATTATTAAATGTTACCGCTGCCCTCTTGCGGTTGATTGGCGCTATTTCAGTTTCATTTTCGCTGGGCAGATGTGGTAATTTTTAGCGCACCGAGAACGAGCAGTGGAAAAGATAGGCGTGTGAAGAGCGAAAATGATATACACTTGTTTTTCGTTCTTGTGATGAGCACTTTCCAGCCACCCCAGCACTTTCTTATGCTGACAAGACCTGTGAGTGTCTCTCCCTCTTTCTCTCTCTCTCTTTCTACCTCCTTCTTTCTCAACATTAAGCTGCCCACAACTGAACAACAAAGAATAACCACATATTTTGCCTGATACATAACTCTAGGTAATAACTTTTCCTTGTGTGTGTGTGTGTGTGTGTGTGTGTGTGTGTGTGTGTGTGTGTGTTCACTCGTACCCGTGTTCAAAGATGTCAGAGGAAGTGTAGTGGGTGAAATAAAGCGGTGTTTGAGGGTGGTGAGAAAATGTGGGAGGGAAATGAGGAGAGAGTGACTGTATGAGCCCTTATCTCATTCATTCTTTCATGTGACGATTAGTTGTAGCCTACTGGCACAGCTGAGCACTTTTCAAGCTAGAATTTTGAGTCAATAGCCTTGTGTTGAGTTAGAATTGAATATTGAAATAACAGTATGAATATTCACTCTGCAATTTGCATGAGTTCTTCAGCGAGAGCAGTGATTGGTCAGCTCATTAAGGAGCCTTGAGGTGGACTGAACTATTGCACACTGTTAAACCTGAGAGTCTCAGACAGAAGCAGACTGAAGGCTGTGGTTTATTTATAAAATGGCGGCTATGGCGAAATGTCTGAATTCCAGGTAAGTCAGTGTCTTTCTCTCTCGCTTTCCTTCCCTCTAATGATCTCTCGAGAGGGGGCCGCAAGGTTAATTAGCTTCGCCTTCACTAACAGACTCTGCTAATGAGAGGACATCAAAACTAACTGGACTGAGGCCTAAAGTAATGAAATGTCAGGAGCAAATCTCTAGAGGAATCCAAGAGACTTGAATATCAGTGTGTGTGTTTGTATATGAGGTGTAATCTATGTTGGTGCAGTGTTTAGAGCCCTGGTATACAAACAATGTGTACATGTGTACACTTTTCTTATATGTGTGTGTGTGTGTATATATATATATAATTATATAGAATGTATCAGAGGTGAGGCAAAGAGTATGAAAAATCAGTGAAGTAGGCAATATGTTTTATTTATATAGCAGCTTTCCTATACTCAAGGTCACTCCATAACTAACAACCCGACATTGGACAGTCACACTAGATTACAAATAAATAAACAACAACCCAATAGCACAAATATGGCAGTTAAAATAAGCAGCTAGAGATGTAGAAGCCAGATATTGTCAGAAAAGATTTGAATGTGGGAGGAGATCTTGTGTAGTGAGCGGTTGAGAGGGTGCTGGTTTTGTTTGTGTGTGTGTTTTTAATGTAAACTGTACTGTGTTTTTAAGGTGCTCACATAATGGTTTACGGGTGTAAATTAAGTTTCCATCAGGGCAGTATATGACTTTTGCTTTATTTCTGCTGTGTCTGCATTTGTGCTAAAGCATTATGTTATAGCAGCAAAATGTTATGAAACAAAAAACACACTTTTTAGGCTTTGTACCTTTTATCTGTAGCCAAAATGTTTAAATCCCAGATTACTATTTGAATGTTGTTTTTGAATCGTATACAGAGCATTTTATTACTTTGTGTTTTACTAAATACTTCGTTTGAATCTTGTAATAATCAACCTAAAACAAGGTTTGGTTATTTTACAGTAACGCTTACGAAATGACATTTATGCAAGTGATATGCCTCTTAGATTATTAAAGCAAAAATAATTATACTTTATTAGTTATTTAATAATTATTCAAACCTTAATTTAATCAAATTTAACTTAATTTAATAAGGTAATTTTATATTCATAATATATGGATTTGGCTGTTGGTTTGATCAAAAGTGACAGTGTGTTAAATGTAATCTTTCAGAATGTGCATTCCCATTTTAATATGAGTTAATGTGCATTTTTCAAAACAAATATTTGAACATAAGAGCTTTCAAAGGCTCTCAGACTAGGAACATGACTTGTGAATCTGTTTCTCTCAGTCAGCTTTATATTCTTTAAGAAGATGTGACTGATGCTGATTGATTGAGTTTTTCCAAGAATATCTCTCGTTACTGTGTGTGTGTGTGTGTGTGTGTGCGTGTGCGTGTGTGATGAGAGTGAGTGGAAGGAACAGGAAATGGGGTGACACTGACTCACACAGCACAGAGGTTTGTGGGTAATACTCACACAATGGCATGTGAATCAACCTCAACGTTTTTCACACTATTTTCTATATCATCAAAAAAGTATCATTGGAAGGATATTTCCAATTGGCCTTCGTGAGGGTTTTGGTGAATTAGTCATGTTTATTGTGTCCTTTGAATAAAAAGGTCAGTCATTACCGAAATATACCACAATCTTTAAATAGCGTAGCTACACTGTAATACAGAATTTTTCATTTGTAAATATTTAAAAGGGAATTATTGCCTTCCTTTTTAAGAGTCGCATAAGCTTCTGAAGATAAATGTTAACATTTATTTCATCCAACAAAATGATCAATATTATATATATATATATATATTTAACATTGATATGATGATTATATTCAATATAATAATGTTATGTAATGAGATTAGAATACAGTAAGCTGGCAATAGCAATAATTGTGGGCTAAAATGTAGAGAAAAATTCTGTTCATCAAATACTTTAATGGAGTACCATAACTTTATTAAATGTTATTATATGACGATGCACAGTATAGACTTTTAGAAGTAACGCTCTGTAAGAAAAATAAATCCATAGAAACACAAAAAAGGTACTGGTGATTTTCTGCCAGGACATTATCTGTTAAGTTTACAGACACATCCTTTTACCCTTAAACACAATGTGATAATCAATTTAAAATCAATATGGACAATTCCTTCATTTTAACTGTACACTATAAAAATGATATGATCAATAAGTTATGACAACATATGGGTTTACATTGCATTAACTCATCAAAATAAGTTAAGCAATTTAAACTTTTTTTTTGTTTAGAAGTCATTAAGTCGGTTTAATGTAATTTAAGTTGAAATGACTTTAACATCCAAGTTGATTGTACTTAAAAAAAAAATTAAGGAAGCAACTTTTTTTTACAGTGTACATTGGGCCCTTTTTTTTTTACATACTTCTCTTACAGTGCAGTCTTACGTTTTCTTTATTGGACATCTACATTAAGTTAAGTTAGTGTCTCTCTCTATTGATTTTTACGGTTTAATTTACCACAGGCTCATTGGACCATGTATCATTATCAACCACACTTTTGCTGTGTAGGCTTTATGGTTTATTATAGATCATAAAAGTTCTCTCTATTGTATTATATGTTCATCAAATCAGATTTTGCTTTCTTAGTTTTTTAAGAACATTGGTTTTCTAAAGAAATTGAAAATGAGAAGTTCTTATTGGATCTTAAAAGCTTCCTGGACCTTTCTTTTTAAGAGTGAAGAAGGGTCTCGAGTCAGACACACAGATGAAGGAAGTGCGAGACAGTTTTATGCAACCAGCACGTCATATTCGCTCATCTAGGCCCTTTCGTGGCTTTGCATCATGAAAAAATAAGTCGGTGGCTCATCGACCGTGATTTACACTGTGCTTACGATCTCTAGTTCACCTCACCAGCGTGACTGTCTGGAAGCAGGTGATCAATCTTTTCTTTCATTTCCAATCATTTGACTATCAATATCAGTGAGTAATTCATCCTAATTTAGTAACTCGCTCGAATGCGGTGGGTGGCGGAGGATAGAGGTTTCGTTTGCATCGGTTGGAAAGCGGCTTTAATTTGACTTCTATGACTAAAGCAAGTGAAATTTGTGAAACACCCCAAAAAAAAAAAAAAAAAAAAGCGCCCACGGTCGTAATAGTGGCATATAGAGTGAAGGAGCTGTTCTCATCAAGTGATCAGAGGACAAAGAGAGTTGAGCAAAAAACATTCCGGTGAGTCAGAAACACACCACCTTCAAGAACTCATTTAGGTAACATATCACACTACTAAAATGCACCTTATTCTAATATTACTGTAATATCAGGCTTATCATTTGCTTTCTGTGTGTGGTTGTTTGTAATGTAAAGTTTAGTTGAGACTGACTTTTCGTGATTCGTGCAATCATCGATTAAAGTTCTGATCATTTTTAATGAAATATTTCAGTGATGAGGTTTACGTCAATCTAAAATCCAATTGTATGTTTAAATGTCTAATTAAAACGTTTAAAGTATTAGTAGTTACGCAAGTTGCTGAAATTCAGGTTTTTATTTAATTGCATTTTAGCATTTAGTGAAACCATATCATTTTACATTTTTTAGTTTACATCTATTAACGTTAGACTAATAACTGTTAATCATTGGTCAACGTGAATTCCTATTACTTTTTCAAACTGTATGTTTACATCTTGATGCTGTGGAAAGTTTTCTTAAAATGGTTCAAATGTTGTTTACGTTGTGTTATTTTCATTTGGCTTTTTCACTGACTGACGTGATTGCTTCCATAAAAAAGAGTCTTTGTAATATGTTTAATGTTCAGCATGCACGTTCCAGCCGTGTAATATGAACTAATTTAACAATAAGTGCACCGGACAGGGAAATCAATTTGCTCTTGGAAATGGCTGTGTGGATGGTCTGATGTGACCATCTATTTCACCGTGAGTAAGAAAGAGAAAAGCTGTTATCCTCCTGCGAAGTGCAACACGTGCTCTCGCGGGATGAAACCCTCTCCTCCCCGCATTAACAGCTATTGCGGGTATGTTTGTGTGTGTGTATCTATATGAATGATGCCGTGCAGGATGGGACATGCCCCACCATCCCCGCTGCTCTCTGGGAGGCGCAGGTGCTGTATTAGGATGAAGAGGGTGTCAAACAGGACCAAAACAGAATGAAATAGAAAAGTAAAGGACAAAGGAAAGACAGATAGAGCCATTGAGCTGCACGGTGAATAGTTTTGCTGATGGAAATTGACTTTTGACTCTAGGGTGTTTGTTTCGTTAATTAGAGGTTTTGGATGAACTATTTACAGCTTGGATGAAGCTATTATATTATATTACATAGAGGTAATTTCAAAGATGTATAAGCTCAATTAAATATCAAGCTTTTTGTAATGTTATGTGAATATATTTGATTATTTGCCAAGCTATGTGACACAATTTGCTTAATGTAAAATTTAAAAAAGATTTTTTTTTTTTACTATTTCTTACATAGATGCAGTTTTTTGATCTCATAAATTAAAAATTAATATGAAAATATTTTGGATTTTAAATAAAGGGAAAATATTTTTATTAAAAAGCTCAAAGTGGTAAACTCTTAAGGATCTTTGAGTAAAATTTAATCCACATTAAAAATGTGTGAATTATTTTTTGGTGTCAAGCAAGGTGTGTTACTATTTTAAATATGAAATGGTTATTAATAGTTAATTATGTTGATATAAATAAAAGAAATCCTGAAAATGATCTTTTATGTATTGAAAATCTATTTTTCACGACGTCCAAAAGCCTAAACCAGTGTTGTATTTATTAGTGCGTTCTTTTGCTGAAAAATGACGACAGCAGGATGAAAAGAAAAGGTGACCAGTTTCAGCATCAATATACTTTTATGTCTTTTGATAAATCTTTATGATGAAAACAGGTTATTTGCCAACTACCCTTTATGTGGTTGATGATATAAGGATGACTGACAAAAAAAAAAGCTAAAATCCAAGAGATGTTTTCAGTCAGTTCCTCTCTCTGTTTCAGTAGATATCAGGATGTCTAAAGCTGTCGATGATGATAAGATGGGGACTGAGTTTCCAGTCGATAGTACAGGTAAATATTATTACTATGAGTCTGAGTGCTTTAAGAGGTAGTAGATGTTAAGTTATTATGTGCATTATCTATATTATTGTTATGTAAAGGAGATTTGTGTGATGATATTGTGAGAGATGGGTGAGAAACATTGCATGTATAAGCATGTTTTATCATGTACACTAGTATGATTCATGACTATTCCTAGATGTGTTAGTGTGTGTGAGTGATGAGATTTTGTTTTGTCATAATTCTCACATTTTCCACTTGGTCTGAACCACACACAGAACACTTTAGTCAGCCGTGGCCTCAATCTGACACACACACACACACACACACACACACACACACACAGACACAGCAGCATACAGTAACCCAGGTTAAACGCTCCATGGTATTCCAATAATGCAATGCCTCTGGCTAACCAGACCACGCTTTTGTTGATGTGAGGGCTGGAGCCTGAGGCACTATTCTGACCTGATGTGTCCTTGCTTGTGTGTGTGTGTGTTTTTACAGACTCTGAGAGGAACAGTCCAGAGGCCAGCGATCAGGTGAGTGAACAACTTTCAGAGAAAATTTGATGTTAGTTGTTCGATCTCAATGAATGTGTGAAACACAAAAAGAAAGAGTGCATCGGTGCACGGTGCATCAATATTGAGAGGTTCTCCAAAACCGTGACCATCTAGATCAGGGGTGTCAGAGATCTGGTTTTGGATCAACAAAACAAAATACAAATATTTAGCATATTTGGGGAAAAAAAATTCTAAAACCATTTTGTACTTTTATAAAAATCAGTATCATTAACTGACAGTCCTTGGGTAGCCAATAAGAAAGCTAATAGGTTGTTATGTAAGAATACATCTTAAAATGCTAGAGCGTTTCTTTTAATTACACGCAGCATTCGTCATTTGCAAATGTTTGCAGGGACAGTCCCGTGGCTAACATGCTAATTTTCCCACTTTGAAGTTTGTCGCTTACTGCAATAACAATATGGATAAATGCAATGAAAAATATGATGGGTGAACTTTAGAGTTGTCAAGACTCCACTGAATGAATATTAAACACGGTGCATCAATACTGATATTTGACTAAGAAGCAGGACTGTGATTCAACGAACACACTGTAAAAAAAAAAAAAAATCTAAAGATTATTGGAGTATGTTTTACAAGAAAATCTTATTTTAGTTGTTCTGCTTTTAAAATTGCATGTTTAATTCAATGTGTTACTTGCTCTTTCTTTCAAATTAATTGTAAAATGTACTGCCAATTTCCCAGTGAAAATTGTTTCTAAACCTTCATTTCTAAGCCTAAATTTGTTCTGTTTTAGATCATTTATTAAAGCTAAAGCGATCCAGTTGAGGGCAGTGAGTTTTGTCCCTAATGATTTGTTCTTGTCTCATTCAGATCCAGCCAATGAAAACAAGTCCGTTCTGCCTGTCTCCTGCACCCAGCAACACAAAGGTGTGTGTTTGTGTGTTCATGCCAAATGCTTTTTATTTTGACCACGTTCACTAGCATGGATGCCCTCGGGTAATTATACGTTAACATTGTAATATGCAAATGAGATTTTTTTAGTCTGTTTAAACCGCATTCCTAACAAGATACCAGGCAATTTACAGGAGAGAGAGGGAAAGTGAGCTATGACGCATGAAACGTATGAAAGGATCCGGATCGATCAGAAGTGAGGTAAAAAAGGTTCGAGCGATCGCAGGGCAGATGCAGTTAGTACAGAGACTCTGGATGGATATTTACAGAACTAAACGAGTTGAACTGCTCCTCTTCTTTTGAATTTGTGAGTAATCAAATGAATAACTAAAAGTGTGTGTGTTTACTTATGGAAATGGCCTTGTGTGGTTTTAGTCTTTGACAAGAAAAGACATGAAGTGGTAGTTGGTATAAGCGGTTATTGATATTTAGTAGTGGCCTTTTGTATTTGCATATTAGTTGTAAATCTAGCTATACCAGTAATAAATGACAGTGTTAATTTAATACAGATAAATAAATAAAAAAATAGGCTATTTCAGCATTTTGTAGTATTAAAGGATTTTCAAATGAATTTATAATAATTACATTAAAACACGCCCACAAAAAATTTATATGCTAAATAAATTGTACTAAAATAAAAAGGGTTAGCTTAAGGCATTTTTTATATTGTTGCCATTTATGTGATTGTGTGTGTGAGAACATTGATGTATTATATTATTAGTGTTTATGTGTATATGTATTATTAAAATTCCATATATTATTATTAATAATGTATATGAATGTGTTTTATAGGTTAAAGCCGAGGAGGCCGTTGAGATGACCAGTGTTCACGCTCCTCCTCCTCCAGTTCAGCCTTCTCTACCACACACACAACTCATGCTGGCAGGCAGTCAGCTCGCAGGGGTATGTGCTTACACACATACACACGCACACGTTTTATGGGGACTTTCCATAGAAATAATGATTATTTCTATCCCCTAAACAGAACCCTCACAGAAAAAAGCATTTTAAATGTGCTAAAAAAACATAATTTTGTATAATTTATGAGCTGTTTTCCTCATGGGGACCAAAAAATGTCCCCACAACATCAAATATTTCTGGTATTACTATCATTTTATCCCCATAATGTAGGGAATACATGAACCACACACACACTCACATGATGAGACACACACACACACACACACACACATTATGAGACAAATAGGTACACAAGTGAAGTGAATGAAAAATCTTTGAGGGGAAACAAAACAGCACTAAACTATTTAAAATAACATTAGATTGTTCGCAACTTCATTTTATTCTTTTATTTAGTTAAAGCTGAAATGTCTCATTTTCAAACCTTAAATGATTTACTACTTCAATAAGTAAGCACCCCTGATATTTTGAAATACTTATTTTTTATATAAATATTATTAATAATACATTTAATGAATCATTAAAAAAAATATTTATGATCCGATTAAAATGTTCTTGATTTGTTTATCTTGATTGTATTATAGTTTTTTATATAAAGGTCAAGTGTAATAAATTTTTTTTTTACAATTTTTTAAATTTATTTAAATATTCAGAGACAATATTATTAAGCCATTTGTAGTTTACTTCCCTCATAAAGCTAAACTCTGGCTTTGTGGCACCCTTTTCACAGGCTGGGATGGTATCGCAAATCTAGTACAGTTTTTCATATTTTAATTTTACATATATATATATATAAATAAAACACTATACTATGTTATACTACCTTGGCAGTATTATATTTTTTAATATATATATATATATAAATACAAAAATTATATTTGCTGTCGTCTCCCATTCACCACTATAGAAGTGTACCCAACTATGACACCTATGACTTCTGCTTCATTGAACCCTGGAAATGTGAAAAGGGTCCGTAGCATGAGTTTGGGGCAAAATGATTTGTTAGGAGATCACTTTGGAAATCCTGCTCTGCAAGTAAACATTGCTATATTATATAATAATTAATCTGAATGAATGACAACAAATACGAATATTATATGGATTGCTTTTTTTCGCTCTCTTTCTCTTTTGCTCTATGCTTCTATTAACTAAGTGCAACATGCTTTCGGTTGATGTATAACCTTCTTAGCTTAACCATGCTGTGGATGCCATCTCAGGGCCTGCTTGCTTAAGAGAAGGTGCCACAGACGGCTTGGTGACGCTGTTCTTTTCTCCACCTTTTCTCTCTATCCCTCGCTCCTCTTCTTCCTCTCTTCAGCTGGCCGCTCTCCTCCCTGCACAGCAGCAGCTGTTGTTGCAGCAGGCTCAAGCGCAGCTGTTAGCCGCAGCCGTGCAGCAGTCAAACGCAGCGCATGCGGCCCACGCAGCTGCCGCAGCCAATCAGCAGCACCACACGCAACAGCAGCAGGCCAATCAGGCAGCAGCACAAGCCCAGTCTCAAGCCAAACATGAGCAAGCTCCGCCTCCACTTCTATCGCAGCCTATCCAGCTCACTGCCCAGGTACCTTCTTGCGCTGCCGTTCTACGTTTTAGGAAAATGCATTTTTGATCAGAGGCTAGATTGCCATTTTCCTGTATTTCAATTCAGGGAACGTTCCCGGTCAAATATACTATATATCAACAGCATCTGTGGCATGCAGTCAATTATGAACAAAGTTATTGCAATGTGTACATTAGTATATAAATACATAAGGTTGCACTTTTTTTTTTACCGTACATGCACTTATGTGTACTGACAATGTACTTGCCTAAGAAAGTACTGGTTAATATAAGGTGACTACATGGGTTAAGTTTAGGTTTAGGGGTAGGTTCAGGGTTAGTACCTAGTTATTACCCATTTATTATATTCTTACAGTACTCTTACAATGCGAGTCTTGCAGACAATCTTGCAATACCACATTTAAATAAATACATAAATAAAATAATTCATTATAAATAATACATTTGAATAATATAAACAAATAAATTATTATAAATTATTTAATTTTGTTAGTTGTGTTAGTCAAATGTATTTAATACAATTTCAATATAATTTTGAATAAATCTTAATTTATTTTAATTTACTTAATAGCAATTTAGTATGATTTGAATGCATTTAAGTATTTAATGAATGTGTGAAATATGGATATTTTGTTCCGGAGACATCTGGTCATGTGCAAGGAAACATAGTCATTTAAAGAATGTAAAAATGAGATTAGAATGAAAATATCAGGTAAAGGGTTCTTCGGTACAATGCAAATTGCCATTTTCCGCCGACCAATTGTTTCTGTAACTTGACTTTGTTACATAACTGGACCTTTTTACTTATTCCCCATGTCTTGACTCGCTCACTTGTCTTTTTTTCACCCTCATAAGGCTTTCTGTCTCTCTCTGAAGGACATTCAGCAGTTGTTGCAGTTACAGCAGTTGGTACTGATGCCAGGTCATCCTCTACAGTCCCCTGCTCAGTTCCTGCTGCCTCAAGCCCAGGCTCAGCAGGGTCAGCAAGGTAAGATGCGCCTATTCACACATTATTTCATCATGGCTATGGGGTCAGTGGAATCACTGAAACTGCACCCCGTTGCCCTGTGTATGCATTACCGTTATTTCACATAACAGTTGACTCTGTGACTGTGACACCAATAACATTTGCGTGCAGTGATGTCTTTAATGTGTAATTGCCATTCATGCTCTCTCAGGTTTGCTTTCGACGTCAAATTTGATTTCACTACCTCAGCAAAGCCCAGGGAGTCTCCTGACCAGCCCACCTAGACTGGGGCTTCAAGCACAGGTATGAACAAAAAAGGGTTTCAAACTACATTGGTGTGTCCACCTCATGTTGCTTATTCAAATAGCAAATGGTGTCCAGTTATCATCGTGGCATTTTACTTGAGACACTGCATTGTGGGATACAGGATTTGATGCAGTGCGCTCACCTGTATACTGCAAACAAAGTTTGGAAAATGTAATCATTCAAATCAGTATTCTGCATAGTATGTTTAGACTACAATTCCAAAGTTTGGGGTCAGTAAGAAATTTGAAAGAAGTCTCTAATACTCACCAAGGCTGCATTTATTTGATCAAAAATACACTAAAATCAGTAATATTGTTATGTATTATTGCAATTTAAAAGAACTGGGGTTTTTTTCTTCTTGATTTTAATACATTTGAAGATATAATTCATTCTTGTGATGGCAAATCTGAATTTTCAGCATCATTACTCCAGTCTTCAGTGTCACATGATCCTGCAGAAATCATTCTAATATGCTGATTTGGTGCTCAAGAAACATTTCTTCTTATTATAATTATCAATGTTGAAATCAGTTGTGCTGCTAAATATTTTTTGTAAAAAACGTGATTCATTTTTTCAGGATTATTTGATGAATTGAAGGTTCAAAAGAACATAATATATTTTAATTCAAATATATATATATATATATATATATATATATATATATATATATATATATATATATATATATATATATATATATATATATATATATAGTTTAGGGTCCAATTCTCACTATTAACTAATTTCTTATTAGCATGTACAATGGAGAAGACTCAGAGCTGTTATCTTGGAAAAAGGAGATTACAAAAAGTATTTAATAAAAGGGGGCAAATAATTGTTCCCAATGTGTTTTGGAGAAAAACATTTATTTCATAATGTGATCTTCCCCCCAATTTCAATTATTTTACTTCAATGATTTTAGCAATTTTTTTTATAAAATATGAAAAGGATTAACAATGCAGATTTATTTTTTCAGCCATCTTTGATCATATTTATCAAGGGGGCAAATAATTCTGACCAGCACTGTATATTACTGGGATATTGGCTGTTTATTTGTACTAATAAAACACATATTAATGCCTTATTCTGCATGACCATATTCTACGTCCCTAATCCAATGTCTAAACTTAACAACTACCTTACTATTAATAAGCAGTAAATATGAGTTTATTGAGGCAAAAGTCATAGTTAATAGTGAGAATTGGACCCTAATCTAAAGTGTGACCAAAAAATCTTACTTTTGAACGTTATCGCATACTTATTAAAATAATATGAGTTGAATGGTAATATGCTATATAGTCAGTCTAAATGTGTTGCCTTTCAGGGGTAGAAAGGACGTTATGCAAAAATGAAGGGAATCTTTTGGAATGGGTTTGAAATTGAAGGCTCTGTCTCACAGTAGATACGTGTTTGAGAAAGTAGTGTGTTTTCCCAATCTGTGCTGTAGCGTCATCTTGACGACAGGCTGTGGTCATTGCAGAGGGAGAAGAACGTGGAGAGCATTGTGAGCTCCGCCCCTTCCTCCGCCCCTCCCATGAGCTCCGTTCCCACGGCGACGCCCCATCCCGAGGAGCCCAGCGACCTGGAGGAGCTCGAACAGTTTGCCAGAACCTTCAAACAGAGGCGAATTAAACTGGGGTTCACACAGGTGTGAAAGAAAAATAGAAATGAAAACCAATTAAACCTTCTTTCAAGACACTTATTTTTGAGATGCAGTCAATAACAAGTCAAGTCACCTTTATTTATATAGCGCTTTATTCAATAGAGATTGTTTCAAAGGAGCTTCACAGTAATAACAAGAGAATGATTCAATGATGCAAACAGAGTTGATTTCGGCTGTACAGCAGCTCTAAAAGAAAATAGTGTCATTGTTCTGTTGAAGTCAGTTCAGCGTTGATTCACTTCTGTAGTAAAACATCAACAATTATTCAATTAGTTCATTTCATCTATGAAGCAGATCTGCAGAAAACTGTGATGTCATCGTCCAGTTCAGTTTTCATCCAGTAGTGTCAGTGCGGTCAAATCAATAATATTGTTGAATATTAATTCATATGTACAATGAAACCTATTGAGATAAAGAATACTTGTCATATACACTGTAAGATTATGTATATAATTAAGGGTGGCCTATGGCATTAATTATAATCACAATGGTTATTCTGAGCAGTTTTAAATCTTTATTTATGTTCATTTTTAAATACCATTTTAATATAACTTTAATGTATGTATGTAACAATCATGTTTTCTTTGTATTTCTATTAAAATTATACAATACTTATATATATTAATACGATTTTGTGTATGATTAGGGTAGGCATTAATTAAAATAACTCATTATGAGCAATTTCTAAAATTTAATTTATTTAATTTAATATTGTAATGCATTATTTGGGATCAGCCTTTCCTTATTTAATTTTCTTTAATTTTCCTTAATTTTCTTGGAAAAAAGGTCTAAACCAATAGCGAAGATGCAACCAGTTGGAAAACCAGTGAGAAGTTTAACTTTAGTTACAATATTCAGTGAAGAAAATAAATGAGGAGATAATTTGTGAGAAAATAACATGCCACTAACACAGTTGTGTGAGGGGGAAAAAACGCTTAAGTTGGTATTGAAATCTATGGAAGATTGTTTCCTCCACGGAATAAAACTATTTAAAAGAGAATTGCGAGTTTATATTTCGAGTTTATTATTTTCGTCAGAATTGGCCTTTATATCTCAGATCTTATATCTTTAAGTCAGAATAGCAAAATATAAAGGCCAATTCTGACGAAAATAATAAACTCGAAATATAAACTCGCAATTATCTTTTAAATAGTCAGAATTACAAAATATAAAGGCCAATTCTGTTTATATCATGCAATTCTGAGAAAAAAAATGTCAGAATTGTAGAGATAAAAAGTCGCAATTACCTTTTTTTATTTTTTATTCTGTGGCGGACACAAGCTTCCATAGAAATCCCATGGTATGTCTGTGAAACATAAACTTAACAGTCCTCAAGCTAAACTAGTCCTGTCTGCTTGGGGATAAAATGATGAAACGAGCGAATGGTAACTCTGCTCCGTGTCTTCATGCAGGGGGACGTCGGTATGGCCATGGGGAAACTGTACGGCAATGACTTCAGTCAGACCACCATCTCACGTTTCGAGGCTCTCAACCTCAGCTTCAAGAACATGTGCAAGCTCAAACCCTTGCTGGAGAAATGGCTGAGCGATGCAGGTGTGTGTTTTTCTCACTTTTCTCATTGGTGTTTCATGTTTGGATTCTTCACGATTCGTGCTATGTGTGTGTTTGCGTTACAGAAACCATGGCGATAGACAACATGCTTCCGAGCCCCAGTTCACTGTCCTCACCTCTGCTGGGCTTTGAAGGGTTGCCTGGACGCCGCCGAAAGAAACGCACCAGCATCGAGACCAACGTCCGCATTGCCCTGGAGCGCAACTTCATCTCGGTTAGCCGGACTCATGAACAACACACACACACACCGTACCACCAAATGTTGCAAGATTTTAATTTCCTGCTACAGAAATCATATTTCCTTCAAATGACTCGTTCATTTGACTTGGTTTATTCCGCACAGCACACCTCAGCTTCATGACCTCCTTTTTGCTGTCTCATGATAAAAAAAAAATATTGGTTCTCTTTTTGAAAATGCTGAATCCATTTTTTTCTCTCTCTGGAGAAACAGAAGTCTACCAGCAAACTAATTTATTGCAATATACTGTATAAGAATTATATCACCACATTAAACCCCATATACTTCTAGCATGATTATAGAAGTATTGCTTGAGCATATTTTGATGCATTATTAAACATATAATATCATAGGCCAGTTTACCAGAAGGTTGTCTATGGACACGTATAGAAGTTTGAAAGTGGTTACCAACCAGGAAAAAATAAGAAATAATAAAACAATATTATATTTTTTATAAATAAAATACAAAACTTATTATGAAATATAATATAATGCATAAATGTAAATATATAATTATGCATGTTATTGTACCTTATGTTAAATTGCTTGCAATGTTGTTAGTTATTAAGTCGATTGGATAAAATAAAATAATAAAATACAATTCCAAAATATAATAATATATCATAATAATATTAATAATATGTTTTATATTATCTTATGATAATTTGCTTGCAATATTCATTTGTAAGTTGCTTTGCATAAAATAACATAACATTTATATAAAATTAAAATAGACTTTTTATTGGTTTACATGATAAGTGGAACAACAAGTAGCAATAATAGTAGGAATAAAATAAAATAAAATAATAAAAGTAGACTGTTTATTGGTTTACATGGTAAGTGGACCTCCAAGTAGCAATAATAGGTGAATCTGAAAACAAAAAGGAGACAAGGCACAAACTTTTCTAGATCATTCCAATGTTTTATACTAAACGATACAGATTTATTAATCCCCAACAGACAGTTTAGTGTTATGGTTGCACATGAGTCACGAAACCTTCAGTCACACTTTACCTCTGGTAAGCACCACACCTGTGTTGTAAGCTTTTTTCCAAGGAAACCCATCTAAGATCAAGTCAAGGCAAACAGCCAATACGCTTGAGGCGCCTCATGCTGCTTCTTTCCATTTCTAAGTAACTCATTCTGCCGGTTGTTATTACGCTGACAGAAACTTCAATTATAAAGCATGTACCCAAAACAGTTCCATTATCAGATAATACAGCAATTATAAAACAATTATAAGTCATGTGTCCTATCAAGGGAGTGGTGATCAAATCAACCTCATAAATAATTTGATTTTAATTCCTCAATGTAAATTCTCACTCTTATGATTTCAATAAATCCGTGTTTACATGCATTTTTGAGTACCAATTGATTCAAGCATGCTTTTTCTCAAATATTTCGTGCATCAACATGAAATTGTTTTGGGCTGAAACTTGGTCTTGGCCTGAGTGCAGGTGTTTGGCACGTCTCATGTACTCATGCATCTCACCTCACCCCCTTTAGAACCAGAAGCCTACCTCTGAAGAAATCCTGCTGATGGCCGAGCAGCTCAACATGGAGAAAGAGGTCATCCGCGTCTGGTTCTGCAACCGACGGCAGAAAGAGAAGCGCATCAACCCCTCCAGCGCCACCCCTCCGCTGCCCACTCAGCCCCCAGCACAGACGCACAAGCCCCCCTGCTACAGCCCGCACATGGTATACCCACTCATGGCTTTAGCGATTGATCTGGCCCAAAGCCATTTCAACTGACAGCTGGTGTTGAAATGTTGTTTGGATGGTGCATGGTGAGAATGGGTGCAAACGTGGTATAAAAGAGACATGTCTGGTCATGTGTTTGAATAATGTTCTACCATAAAATGACAATTGGACCTTTGAAAGTAAAGGCAAATATTAAAGAATGTCATTATAAGATGTATGTTTGTTAATTAAAGTCTCTTTCCTTTTTTCTATAGATGTCCAGTCAGGGACTGGTTCAGGTCGCTACCAGTCTCAGCACAACAGGTGAGAAGAGCAGTTAGAATGAATAATAGTGTTGTTCACTGCACAGTTGTGGTTACAAGGACAGACACTGAATCTCTCTCCTTACGTAGCCGTCAGTCCCACGCCTTCTGTGGCCTGCCCTCTCAACCCCAGTGGACATGGAGTGTTGAGCTCCGCCCCTTCTTCAGTTACTCCGCCTCCTCTCAACACTGTGAGCCCCACCCCGCCGAGCCTCGGCAGCCCTGGCCTTAACACAGGGTAAGAAGCGGTTTCATGTGTTTAGGGCAGGAAAATGCTCTTTTGACACTGTTTGAATTTAAAATAATAATAATTATGAAAATTCATAACAATTATTAATAATACATATTACATAATTATAAATTATTCGAAATATGTTATAATTATTATTATTATTATTCAAACAATTATTTATTTAGGTTGATTTAATCAACTAACAAATATTATTTACAAATAATTATTTTAATAATTATTATAATTACTATTATTAATAAATTATTTGTTTAAGTTGATTTAATCAACTTACAACTAATATATTGAATGATAAAATATTGTGAATGTAAATTTTTTCTTATTTATTATACTTACAATATTTGCACATTTTCACAAATTCACCATCCAATGCTCCCGAAATCTTATACCGAGATTGTTACAAATTATGTATAATAAAAAAAAAATAAAAAAAAAATCAGGTTTTTGTTTAGGTCGTTTCAACCTATATTTGAATCATAATAAATTGTGAATGTTCATTTATTATTATTTGATACCTCTATAATATTCAAGGATATTTGCATAAATCCACCATCCAATGTTCTATATTACCTCAAAATTTCACAATCATAAATTTGAAGACTGTGATAAAAACACATCATCATTCTGTCAAACAGCTTTCATTATGACTAAGCATTCTGAACTGAAATAATTACAGCTTGGCTGTAGTCTTATCATACTTGTTTTCACGATAAAATCTCTATTCTCGGTTGTGTGTGAACAGTAAGCTGAACTTCTTCCTCTTAAGTTTTCTCGTCTTAATGTCATTCTTTCCAGCATGTGTATAAACACGAACACGAACTCCACGATGGACATGGTTGTTCTTGAGATGTCACTAAAAATGCTTGCTTCTCTCTGCATGTATGAATGGCGTATGTTTGTGGACACGTGTAAATGACACATCACACACATTACAGGAACACAATGATGGGTGTAAGCACAGGAATGAACCAGGCCCTCATCAGCAGCAACCCTCTGGCCACAATGCAAGGTTTGTCATAGAGGAAGAGAAAATCAATTAAAAGAAGATTCATTCAAAGATATACATTAAGGAACTTGGCAAATAGGGGATGAAACCTCCCATCATTCACCATCAAAAAGTTTCGATGGGATGTGTTTGAACAAGACCAGAGGAATGAAAATCTCTCACCACATCTTCATCACATCTTCATCCTCACTTCTTACATATGTTTGTCTGCGTGTGTGTGTATGAGAAGAACTGTGTTTGTGCACCATGTCTGTCTCTTTCAAAAGCACTTGCCATCTCTATGCCCTTATATTTGTTCTTGAACTCATATTCATCCTCATCACTTAAAACCCTTTTCCACCAACACCGTACTGGAGCCGACAGACACAATCTAGAACCGCTACATTTACCTCAAAGAAAAGGCAACTCTGGGCCAATGTGTTGCCTCGCAGTTGACCAAACCCCCCCGTTTCTGTTTTTGTCGTGTTGCACAGCTGCTTCAACCAGTTTATTTTCCCTGTCTGTTTATATATATATAATCGCAATTAACATGAAATCGCTCTTAAAAGCGGTTTGGCTTATTGCGATTATGAAATTGTCCAACAAAAGACATTTAATAACATGTTTTTACTCCAAACTCACTTCATAACGACAGTTGAGCATCCTTACACTGGCGTCTTACACTGTATAAAATACTTTGAAATAATATTTTGTGTGCCTTATTCTGTGATAATGGCTATGTTCATTAGCATTTAAGTATAAATATACTTTATTATCATGAAAATACCAGAGAAGGTCTGAAGAACTCAGATAAACCATATATATTGTAGTAGTCGTGTGGTTATTAGTCATGTTTAATCAATCTAAGCGTTTCAATCTTGTTTACTCAGCTACAGTCATAGTATGATGCCTATATGGATTTCCTGGCCATATTTGGAGTTCCTGTGCGAGAGCGCTCTCTCTCTCTCTCTCTCTCTCTCTCTCTCTCTCTCTCTCTCTCTCTCTCTCTCTCTCTCTCTCTATATATATATATATATATATATATATATATATATAATTTTTTTATTGTCCACACGGTTTACCACTTTTGACCACTTCCACAGGTAGTCGAAAACGGATTTTTGACCAGATTGCTCTCTTCTGTTCTTTCGGCTGTCAGTGGAGAAACGAAAGCAGATGCTCTCTGTATGTTTTTTTGTTTTGTTTTCTCCAGTCGTGTTCATATACTGTATAAAGTCCATGAGCTTGTTTTATCCATTAGATCAAAGATCTAAAAAAAAGTCCATACATTTACCCGCCCATAGACCCCCCCCCTCCCCCCTCCCCTCGAAGAAATCAGGACAGAAGAGGTTGAAAGTGGACAAAAGAGAAGGATTAAAATACTAGGAGTAAACGGGTATGTGTCTAACTCGCCCTAATTTGCTTTCTTTATTTCTCTCTTTCCCTCTCTTCTTTCATCTTTTTACAGCCCTAGCTGCCAGTGGTGGCCAGATTCCTATTTCCGCTCTTGAGGGCGGCGGTCAAATGTTCCTGGGTGGAGCTGGATGTCCAGGAGCTGGACTGCGCCAGTCCCTCTTCCTAAACCGCCCCACTTTACTGCCCCTGGCGAGGAGCGCAGGCATGGGTCTGGTGGGCCACCCCAGGGCTTCTCCGCCTCCTGGCGTCAGAGGCGCAAGCCCAGACTCGTGCTCCATCTCCCCCTGCTCAAGCCCCGCCTCCTTCTGCTCATTAGGTGAGGCCTCACCACCCCCTCTGGGCGGAGCTATGGATGAGTGACGCCCACACCAAGCTACTGCACTTGAGGGGAGTCAGAGGGACGGAAGTATGAAGACAAACAAGACTCGCCTTTTCAACCAAAGCCATCTCTCAATCCCTCCATTTCTCTCTTGTGCTTTCTCTCTCATTATGTCTTTGAATGCCAAAAATACAGAGAAATGAGCAGAAGAGAACAGGGATAAGGAGAGAACAGGATAACGGGGGACTTTTTAAACCAAAAAATTGATCTATTCAGCGTGGAGAGGTGGCCTCAATGGAGCTACTTTGGAGAATGTACATTTATTCCTTTCTGAATAGAAAAAGACAAACCTACATGAACAGATTTTTTGAGGGCAGGGTCGTGAGCCAAAAAAACTTTACGAAGAAACAACAACAAGTGAAAACGGGTGGCAACGAATGGAACAAAGAAAGGACATTTGACAAGTGTCATTGGATGGTAGAAAGAGAAACCAAAAAATAAACACATGGAAGAAGAATGGAACGACTCACAAAGACAAAAAAATTACGAAAAATACCAAAACCAAAATACCAAAAATCAAAACCAAAAAATCGGATAGAAAAGCTTTAACTAAGACTTTGAAACCTGAATTGTCCAGGATCAGATTAACTCTACAAAACACCAAACACCTTTTGCTCAATTTTCATTGTTTTTCATGCACCCCATATAATGTAAACTCGGTTTTGTTTCTTTTAAACGATTTGTAAATGTATTTCTCAATCTACCTCTGCTATCAACTATTTAGATTTCCGCATTCTGTTTCATTCCATTTTCATCAGCATTTTTTTCCTGTCAAAGTTAAGATGAAAAACACCGAACGAAAGAAGAATTTTGAGGGATTTTTTTCTCCACTTTAAACAGTATTACACACAAATACACACAAACACACACATATACACTGAAGTTACTGTGATCCCGATTCCCTTTCCATCACTGATCATCCGCTGGAATCCACGCCTCAAACTTTGACACACTTTTCTTGGATACCAAAGCATTCGTCTGGCCTTTTGCGTCAGCTAAAAAGCGCTCGGACGACAAGACCTCAGACAATGTCAAAAAAAAAAAACATACACAAGGAGAAATTTTCAAATAAATCCCCCTGAGCCCCCAAACCCCTGCCCTCCATCCTCTCTGGACCCCTCTCCTGTGCCTCGGGGGAAAAAAATGTGTGGTGAAAAAGGCCAAACGGAGAAAAGGAACGACAGGCAAGAGGAGCAGCGACTGAAGAGGATCCGAGGAAACCTGCAGGGGGAAATCCAACAACCGAGATGCGGAGGGGGAGACATGTGAGGTCGGCGTTTTTATTTTTTTCAACACACGGATTAAACCAAAAATGAAACCAAACCAAAACCAATGGACTAAAACTGAACTTTACTCAATGGAATGAAACCAAATACTAGGAGTGGACCACAGGAGGTGGACAAGGAGGATGTTTTTAGAGTAGCAAGACTCGATGACGTGAAAAGACTCAACCAGAAGATCATTCCTTCGCCTCCTCCCTCCTTTCCGTTAAGTCGATGCTTTCACTCTCCTTCCTGGACGGGAGAATATTTATTAACCTCATCGAACTGAACTTCAGAATATATATATATACATATATATTTTGTTTTATTGCTTTTTCCTCTTGGTCTGTCTGTTTATGCTGTATGACTCGTCTCATTGCTTTATATTTTTGGGATAATGGGGTGACGTATTGCCTATTTTCATATTTCGTGTGTTTCGTCATTTTGAATTGATCGTTCCGGGGGGTTTCCCTCATCAGGCGGTTTGAAACAATACTGTGAACATGTAGCTTCCAAGTTTTGCTTCGATTGCGAATGTTGTGAAACGATAAGCCAAAACTGAAGAAATACCAAAAGCGAAAACCTTTTCTTTTTTGACACCAAATAGCAACCTAACCAATGCACAACGCGTGGAGAAAGACCGTATTGGTGCTAGGTCTCTTCGAGGAGAGATAGGGAGCAAAGAGTGAGACGTGTGTGTGAGTGTGTGTGAACGTGGAAGCTCATCTCCAGCATGGAAACCAAACCGAAACACGGCCGGTAAGCCAACTTAACTTTCGCTCGGCGTGTCGGCCAAACTGTTTTTGACCATGTGATCTTAGACGCATACAAAAACGTGGGCAAACCAGAAATGTAGAGGTTGTGGGGGACGGGGTGGGATGGGGTTTAAAAGCAACTGGAAATCCGGTTGGCGTTACACTTCTAGAGGGAATGTACCTGTTAGTGCTTTGATAGATTTTGTAGGAAAAAAAAAATCTATGTTCAACTGCTTACTATTGCTAATGTAAAAAAAAAAAAAAAAAAAGGCTGTGATAAAAAATAGTCCTTATGAAATGTTAATGATGATGATGATGATGATGACTTGATTTTAGACCAAAAGCTTTAAACTGTCTCTCTTTGATTTTTTTTCCCTCGAAAATTTGTATTTATTGTGTGTGGGGGGAGGGTGTATCAAGGATTTATATGTTTCCAACTCTTCGTCTTATTTATTGGCTTATTTATGTATTTATAGCATTTTAATTTATCGATTCTGTCTTTTTTTTAATCTTTGTAAAACCAAACTGGGGAAATGTGGGGTAGCTAAAAAAAAGAAAAAAAGCAAGTGTCAACAAAGTTTTTGAAACCAAACCTAGCTACTAAAACTGACTGTTGTTTCTGTGGGTAACTTTTCAAAAAATCTGCCCACCGCTTTCGAGAGATGAAAAGTTTCCAAACTATGTCTCTATAACTTGATGTAATATATAGTTATGGGCTCATTTTAAGCATAAATCTTGCTCCAGTTTTTTCTTTTTATTTCGATTTTGCTCTGTTTGTTAGATGCGTTGGATGAGGGAAAAAGAGTGAGAGAGATACGCTTCTGCATATACCTCATGTTTGATTAGAAATGCCAAATAGATGGAAAAAAAGCTTTAAGAATTTGACAAAGGGGAGCAGAGGAGATGTTGCTCAGGAGAGGGTCTTTTTCGCGTGAGTATAAGGGTTCACAGACTTCCCCAGATTATCTATCCAACGTCCGGTTCAAATATCCGGCCCACTATCGGTGTTGAAGAACAGTTGATGGCGGATTTGGTTTTCACATCGGTTTTCTATGTGTACGTTGCTCATGTGATTATTGGTTTTTGTATATATCTCTGTGTGTTGGTGTGTGTGGACGGCTCTGCTGTAGAGGGCCCTGAATGATACCAAAGTTAAACCTCTACCGCAGGACCTCTCACATACTAGACGCGCTCAAATGCATGGACGTTCTTGTAGACATGCACACGCAAAACTGTTCTTCAACCATATACAGCAGGAATGTCCTCGACTGCAGCGTTGTCATTGTGCAGTTTGTTCTGTTGTTTTGCATTGCCAAATAGAGGTAAATCTCACATTTAAACGGCATTGTTCTCCGAATTTTCTTTCTTAGCTACATTCAAATTAGAACTTGGAACAGTTTTGTTCAGTTATGTTGACAGTTTACGGGGGTTTAAATGAATATCAAATGCAACGTATTGTTTGCCTGTTTTCTTTTGTTTTTCCCTTCAACTACTACAGCTTCAATCCAAAGGTAACTGATTAGGTCAACAAAGGAAGATTTTCATGCTAAAACCTCAAGAGTTGAAACCAAAGAGTTCTGCCGTAACATGTTGTCAGGAAACATGCAGATGCTTTTCCTTTTGTTCTCAGAACGCATACCCGCTTCTCTTTTTGACATTTGATGTTGATCACGATGATGCTAACTACATGACGATGGTCACTTTCGACTCTGTATCTGCGTTTTTGCGAAGACCCTTTTTCCTCTGTCGGTGTGTGTCTCGCTCTTACCTCAGAAGCTCTTCATGGAATTTGTAATCCGCTCTGGATTTCAATCTGGATTTTGTTCAGAACTGTTGAACTGTCTGTTACTCATCGCTCTCTGTGTGCCTGTTGTATGGGGTGGGAATGGGGTGGGCAAAGACGGGTGGGGGCCAAACAGCCAATAAGTGTTAGGATTAAAGTGCAACTTTAGACCAAAAATGTGTCCATGTCTGGTTCTGTTTTCTCCTTTATCTTTCAAAAAGCTTGTGTGTGTGAAAAAAAAAAGAAGGACTTTAATTCTACACTTAAAGTCCCCCTGTGGTGAAAATCAAGCTTTTAATGCTGTTTATATGTCTATGTGGTGTTTTTGATATGCTTTAAGACAAACCATGTGCAAATTCATAAGTCAACACCATTGAAGAGTATTTTCTCTTTAAAACTGCAGTGAACCGAAGACCGTCTCAAAAGCGCAGTTTGAAATCGCTGGTGTTTCTGACGTCACAAACTACCTTGTAACCAATCACGTCAACATGTGACCAATGAGTGGATCTCTGAGCGTGTGCGAGTGAGTGGAGGCGGGGCTCATTTTTATATTCATAGAACCACGTACTGGTATACTAAATGAGGCATGAGTGTAGAGTTACATTCAAGCTATTTTAAAGCATAACGAATTTTTTTTGCAAGAAATATTTTTTAAATAAGGTGAGTTTTAACGGATAAAATGATGGACTACAGGGGGGCTTGAATTCTAGATTAATATTTTCAAACCTTGGGTTAGGCTAAGTAATGTTTAATGTTTATGAAGCTCTTTTGCAGTGTCAAACAATGCATTGCTAACATCAAAATGAGTTGTTTAACAACCAAAAACCAATCATAAGGTAAACAATGCCTGCCTAATTAAAGGTGCGGTAAGTGATTTCTGAGAAACACTAGATATTTGAAATCAACCCTAACAAACACACCCCTCCCAGTCATAGCTGAAGCAAAATAATGCTTTGGGAAAAATTAAGCAGAACATAAAATATACATACATTACACAAAAAGCTAGAGTTATGCCTGTTTCACACACTCCGTGTGCAGTGCGTATGCGGAGCAGGAGCAGTGCTTTCACATATGCTGCGTTTGCAGTGCACAACTGATCTACGCCTGTACCACAAACAACATTTATTCTCTATTTTTTATTTCAAATCAATATTTTTATTATCCGCATATTTTATAAAATAATATAAAAAGGTTTCGGCATTGTAATTCTATTTGTATACACAGTAGTTAAAGGTCTACACTCTTTCACAGACGTATTCACGTTTAAACTCAATACACTTAATAAATGTATTATTCAATGGATTACTCATATATATATTTATATATTAAGTTGCTCAAGCAAGTGGCAAAACATTGAAACATTTGGGCCTTATGTTAACATTGCAAACATTTTAAATTAAAACATACAATTGACTAAAAGAGCTCTCTCATACCTTTTCTTTTGCATTTAAGTCTTTTTTAACAAGAAATATTGTGGGTCACAAAGAACTTGTTTTTCAACAACGCGACATTTAGAAAATAATGCAAAATTTTTGCGCAAAAAATATTGCAAAAGTTTTGCGCCAATCTGTAACGGAAACCCGGCTAATGACACACTGTCTTTTTACTATAGGTAACATTACAACAATAGCATATCTTGGTTCTGTGAAACATAGCAAAACTAATGTTACTCGCGTATGGAGCAGAAACAACGCAACCTCTCCATCCCTTTTCCGGCCTTCCCGCTTAGGTCTCTCCAGCGCTGGAAAGCTTTTCTAATAATAACGCGGGTCCTAAAGCTCTTTTGCCTG